TTTTCCGGTCAAGTGATTTTTGTTGTGAACAGTAATGAGGATTTACATTTGAATTAGTACCTCTTGAGTTCGAATGTAATTTTTATTGCAGGCGTTAGAGAGCTTTTTGCTGAGGTGTCCCAGGGATATCTCATTCTACTGTGACCAAATCTTACATCTTAGTTTGGAATTTCTTAGCCATGACCCAAATTTCACAGATAACATGGAGGAAGACACAGATGATGAAAGTTATGTTGAAGAGGAAGATGAGTATGTTGGGAATGCAATCATCTATTAATGGTTTATCCGTTGTTCTTGAACTATCTGCTAATGTTTTTTAATGTGGCTTGTAGCGAGAGCGCCAATGAATACACAGATGATGAAGATGTCAGCTGGAAAGTTCGGAGAGCTGCTGCAAAGTGCTTATCCGCATTAATTGTTTCTCGCCCTGAGATGCTTTCTAGATTATATGAGGAGGTAATGCACATTACATTCAAAGTTTTTTAGTGCTAATGATTTGAACATGCCTTTTTCTATATCCATCGCCATTTTGTATTTTCCATCCAATAGAGTGAGAAATTGTTTTGCACATTGAAAATCAGTGACCTGTGTGTTATGCCTAAAATGATTAAATTTGATATACACTAGGACACCCTTCCCCGTGAGAGTTTTCGCGTAGCCTTTTGGATTTGATATTTTTCCTTCTTGTGAAACTTTTGTATTAGTTAGCAATTTTTTGATGTCACTTTATATTAGTTCTCTTTCTTGAGAGAGCCTACTATTTCTGACCTTGTACCTTATGTAAGGTTGTTCCATGGAGGAATGAATGCTAATTGTTATTTTACATAAAACAAACCTAAGTGATTTAGATGTTTTAAGAGATCAGACCTTTCTATGACAATTATATTAAAAATGAGATACATCATAACTGTCTTTTCCCATAAGTTATGCTACGAAAGGCCAATATCAACAATTTTTGATATTAAAAGATTCAATTAAAAATGTGCCTATTTTAGATTACTTCAAAATCATTTGACGATTATTGGATACTATTTCTCGATATTGTGATTACAGGGAACTATTGTTTTGTTGCTTTATTTTTAATTCATCTTTTGCTGATTTCTGTTGCTTTATCTTTAATTTATGTTTGGCAGATTTGTTACTTTCATTGTTGAATACTGTAATTGAATTAGTTACAGTTACATAGGGATAAGGCTTGGAAGTTGGAAGTAGATGTTAAATAGAACTTGTTGTTTATTCTCTAAGTTTTACTTCTGTGTCAAGCTAGCTAGAGTATGCTCATTGACTAATAAAGTATTAAACCATCCTCCAGGCTTGTCCAAAGTTGATCGAAAGATTCAAAGAAAGGGAAGAGAATGTTAAGGTAAGCGGAACAACCAAGTGGATCTATTATAAATGTAAGACTTATAGGTGATTTATTATATGTTATAATGCTGCAGATGGATGTCTTCAGCACATTCATTGAGTTGTTGAGACAAACAGGGAATGTTACAAAGGGCCAGACGGATATTGATGACTCAAGGCAAGTTTATGATCTCCCATTATGAATTGTCAGGAACTTTTGTAATTAATAAAAAGGTCTATTGTTCGTGTGATTCAAATTAGAATTGGGGAAATGTTAATATGTAATAAAATATAATTTTTGTACAACAGTCTTCTTATTGATTTAGAGACCATGTTGTCTTGTGCGAATAGTCATTCAGGTTGCATATGCATTCAATGATTTAGAAGTGAAGATGATATGGAGAAAGGATTTGATATAATGTGGATTTGAAATTACCATAATTCACATTTTATTAATAATATACTATCTGAGAATATGTGAGGTGAAGGATTAGAAGTTCCATATTCCATGTAATTATTAAAAGTGCATTCTGAATATGTTATTGTGGATATGAAATGTTTAACTTCAAATATTTCCCAAATGCAACTTCAGGGAACTCAGGAGACTTAGATCTTGCTTGTTGTGTCGTGTAGTTTGGCTTGTCACCTTGATGATCTTTTAGGTGCTAAATGACAAGCAATACATAATTAGTTACTGAATAAGCTAATTGAAGCCCTGAATTCACTTTTACATTGTTTAAATTGGTCCACGTCATTTCGACGTAGGGGTTAAATCCTGTATCCAGCAAATTACTACTCCCTGCTGCAGATCCATCAATGAGATTGGAGAATTCGTTGGATGATGAACTGTGTTTGGGGTGTGGGGTGTGGAGGTGGGTGGACAAATATAAGTAAAAGCTTTAGACTGTTAATATGTTGTAATTATTCCTAATACCTAGTATAGCATATGAATTAACTGAATAAGGTACGTTAAAAAGGATGATGCTGGGACACAAACTTGGGTTTATGGTGAACTCTATCCGATAGACTGAAAAATTTACACATGTATGATTGCATAACTTTCTGTAGAATTTTTGTCCTTTTTTTTTTTTTTTNTTTGAATTAATGCAAATACTGTAGCATTTTGTTGAAAAAGAATTTCCCAGGTGGCACTAACCAAATGGTACATTTGTTTTAATCTATTTTTATCCTCTCGTGTTATGCAGTCTCAGATATCTATTGAAACAAGAAGTGCCAAAGATAGTTCGATCTATAAATAGACAGCTACGAGAAAAATCCATCAAGACAAAGGTACAGAGATGAGACATGCATGCGGTTGTTATGTTCGCTCTTGAGCTTCTAAGGTTTTGTTCTCTGTTCTTGTCTCGCAGGTTGGGGCTTTCTCAGTGTTAAAGGAGCTGGTAATTGTTTTGCCAGATTGCCTTGCTGATCACATTGGATCTCTTACTTCAGGAATTGAGAAAGCACTATGTGTAAGTTTTACCCTCATCTTTCGACAAATGTGTAATTTTGTTTTATTCCATATATACGTCTGTAGATATTGTACTCATTATATTTTTATTCGCAGGACAAGTCTTCTACCTCAAATTTGAAAATTGAGGCCCTTGTATTTACAAGATTAGTGTTAGCCTCACATGCTCCTGATGTTTTTCATCCCTACATCAAGGTAATGGCTAATAAAACTGGTTCAGTTGAAGGAGATTCTCCACTTTTGGGATGTAAATGAGAAATTAATGTTTCATTTTGAAAATGTTTGTATGTGAAGATCAGTGTTAGAAGGATGCACCGCAGGTTTCTCGGTAATAATTTATTACCAACACCACATGTCTCTTACAAATCTTGTTTTTTCAATGGGCATGTGAAGGATTTTGCTGGAACTGGTTGTGGTGATTAAGATTATATGCAGATGGTGTAAAAAATTTCTATAGAATGTATGTTTATTCTCCAATTATTGATGATTGGAGTATTATGCTGGACCATTGTGGTGATTAAGATTATATAGGGGTATATAAAATTTCTATAGATGTATGTTTATTCTCCTATATTTGATGATTACATTATTGGAGGGTAGATCTCTGTACTACAATAAGTATACGGCCACGATAGGCATACTGTATGGTCCTGGGTTGGGTAAGACTTAATTATTAGGTTTTAGCCAGTTGGCTGTATCTTTTGATATTGATAACGATGTGGATTGTGGAACATTTGTGGTTGTTAGTGATCACTAATTTTCTGTCTTATTAAATTTTTAACACATATAGGATACTATAACAAGTTTTCTGGGCAATGACTTAAGAATCTCATTTTGGTTCTGTACTAATGAAGTAGTCATGTCTTAGGCCATTTCTGCTCCTGTTATATCTGCTGTTGGAGAACGTTATTACAAAGTTACAGCAGAGGCATTAAGAGTATGTGGAGAACTTGTTCGTGTTGTGCGACCAAATATTGAGGTCTGCCGTCTCATATCTAGATTTTATTTGGCTGCTAGGTGTTGGGAGGCTCATTCCTGAAAATTTTGTGATTTTGTTTCCCAGGGTTATGACTTTGATTTTAAACCGTACGTGCACCCTATATATAGTGCTATTATGTCACGCTTGACTAACCAAGATCAGGATCAGGTCAGACATTCCTTGTGGTGAAATCGTGTTCTCCATTTTAGTTTTCATTTTTCATGTCTTACTAATTACTATGATTCTCCCACAGGAAGTGAAGGAATGTGCTATCTCTTGTATGGGGTTTGTGGTTTCTACATTTGGTGATCATCTTGGGAAAGAACTGCCTGCATGTCTTCCAGTTCTTGTGGATCGAATGGGAAATGAAATAACTCGTCTTACAGCTGTGAAGGTTTGTTAAAAATCCTCTATTTATTTAGAAGCTCTTGAGATATATATATGTATATATATATATATATATATATATATATATATATATTTCCTGTAGTTGGTTCTTATTTCTTATTTTGAAACTGCAATGTTCAACCATTAGACATTGTTAAAAATCCACTATTTATGGCGTCACTAAGCTGTTAGACGATGACGGGTTAGGAAATATGCAATTAAGCATTTATGAGATAGGTACTGCATATTCTGACAACCAACTTCTTTGTGGCTTTTGAATTTAGTAGTGCTCTATTTAAAAAATGAAGTGTTACAGGATCCAGTTATTCTCATTTGTTTCCTTTTGGGTAACCCATATTTGCTATGATACCTGAAATGTGGGCATTGTCGGCCTGATTTATGTCTATTTTGTCTTTCTCAACCCACTTTGTCTTTTTATTCGGACTAATATCAAATGGTATGAGAAAATTATGATCAGTCCTTTTGAAGTCATTTCCTCAAAGATTCATCGATGATGCACTTTATGGAATGTATACGATTGTTGTGTTAGTCACATGACTTACTGTTACTGGTGGTGGTGGTGGGATAACGCTGTGAATTTTACATAGAATATTGTTCTCACAGCTCTTGGGGAACTGTAGGAAATCACTTTCTTATGTCGGTTATGAGTTCTGTTCTTGAAAGAAGAAAATTATCACGTTCAAATTTATTTCCTTATGTGCGAGCTTGACTCTTTCTTCCAGGCTTTTGCAGTCATTGCTGCTTCACCTCTGCACCTTGATTTATCTTGCATTTTAGAGCAAGTGATTTCAGAGTTGACGACCTTCCTACGGAAGGTATAACATAACCTACTGTTCATTTTTTAGACTTTGGATGATTTATCCGTCATATAACATGATGATTTGGTTTAAAGGCTGTTGACCTTATCTTATATTTCCTTGGAAATAGGCCAATCGAGCCCTAAGACAGGCTACACTGGGGACGTTGAACACTTTAATTGTCGGCTATGGTGATAGAATCGGTTCAGCTGCTTATGAAGTCATTGTTGTTGAACTCTCTACCCTGATAAGGTTCGCAATTGTGTTTCTTTTGCTCATTTAGTTGGAATTACCTAAGTTTGCTTCTGGATTTGAAGAAGTATTTGCTGAAAGCTTTCAAGTGACTCCAAATGAGATGGATTTTAATTCCACCATACTGATAAAATAAAATAACGTATAATAGGAGCTAATATGACATTTATTGTAGAAATATCTTATAATTCAAAGTTCAATGGATTTTTTTCTTATAATTCAAACGCAATGGACTTTTTCTTATAATATGACAAACTGAATGGACTTTTCTCTTATAATTCAAAATTCTCGAGCTTGTAATCCATCAACTGGAATAGAGAATGTGTTTGCAGAGTTAATAATTTTGCCAGATCAATTATTGATACGTTGATAAGGTGGCCCCACTGAATTTGGAATCTGCTAATTGCTTTTTCAGTGACTCAGACTTGCATATGGCTGCTCTAGCCCTGGAACTATGTTGTACATTAATGGCCGACAAAAGATCTGGTCCAAATGTTGGACTGACTGTCAGAAATAAAGTTCTGCCACAGGCACTGACACTAATAACAAGCCCACTGCTCCAGGGTCAAGCTCTTCTGGTACTAATTTCTTGTTTATTGGTTGGTATGTCTTGTTGAACGGGTTGCTTGCAAGCTCTATAATAACCTCATCCTTGGAATTTTACAGGCACTACAGAACTTCTTTGGTGCTTTGGTTTACTCAGCTAACACAAGCTTTGATGTATTGCTTGACTCTCTTCTTTCAACTGCAAAATCATCTGTCCAGTCTGGTGGTGTAGCAAAACAGGCTTTATTCTCCATTGCTCAGTGCGTTGCTGTTCTCTGTCTTGCTGCAGGCGATGAGAAATGTTACTCTACTGTAAATATGCTTACCGATTTATTGAGATCTGCTGGCAGCGCCAACTCGGTATGCCATCTACTGATAGTTTCCTTTTGTTTTTTTATTATCTGGAACATTGATTGTTAAATTTCTTGTTACTTATTAGGTTGCATGATGGCAATACGCATATGCACGCTTTCTTTCCTGTACTTATACCACACCTTATGTTAATCCTAGCGGTTGATTTCACAAGCTAGTTAATTCTGAATTCGGTTGTCAACTTTATTAGGAGCACTTGAGGATCTTCTGATTGTACTGTACTTGTGAATTTATCAAATCTTGTAGATGTTAGCCATTGGAAATAGGCTAAAAAATGGTTCCCAGGTAAATAATTTTACTGGTTATAAATGGTATAAACAGAAATTCTGGGAATAGCTGCGTACTGAAACTAGTGCTCTGCTGCTTGTCATTTGTTCAGTGAGGTACTTGCATGCTGCAGACTAATTATAGCTTTATATGCTTTGGATACTCTTTATTTATCTTGAATGGCACTTTGAAAGATGAATCATGTATTACTGTGCTTACATTATTTCATAATGACGAGAGTTTCCTTTTTCCTTTTTTTCCCTCTTAGGTTGGGTTTTGCCACTATGTTCTTGTAATATGTACTGTTCTTTCTGATAGGCTAAGCAACATCTTTCCTTACTGTGCTTGGGGGAGATAGGCAGGAGAAAAGATCTCAGTTCCCATGATCATATAGAGAATATTGTCATCGAGTCTTTCCAATCACCTTTTGAAGAAATCAAATCTGCTGCATCTTATGCCTTGGGAAACATTGCTGTCGGAAATCTACCCAAGTATTTGCCGTTTATCCTGGACAAAATCGATAACCAGCAGAAGAAGCAATATCTGTTACTCCATTCTCTAAAGGAGGTATATTTCTTATATATTTATTTATTGGTTTGACGGAAATTTTAGTAGTTTATGGTTTCCTGACTGATAACTCCACCTTGCTGAACGCTTCAGGTTATTGTAAGGCAGTCTGTAGATAAAGCAGAATTTGATGATTCTAGTGTGGAGAAGATCACTAATTTGCTTTTCAACCACTGTGAAAGTGATGAGGAGGGTGTTCGTAATGTGGTAGCCGAGTGTCTTGGGAAAATTGCCCTTATTGAACCTGGAAAGCTTGTTCCTTCACTCAAGGTATCTACTTAGAGATTGAGTTATTCTTATAATATATTATATATGATCAGTTTTCTGAATAATATGATCTGCCATACATATAATTGTAGGAAAGGACCTCCAATCCTGCTGCGTTCACCAGAGCAACAGTTGTAACTGCAGTGAAGTATTCAATAGTTGAGCGGCAGGAGAAAATAGATGAGATTTTGTACCCTGAAATTTCATCTTTCTTGATGCTTATCAAAGATCACGACCGGGTAATTATCAGATTTCCAAGATTTTGAGACTGTTTTCACATTAAAAAATAGAAAGTCCCATTGTACCTGGATATCTTGACTTCCATATATTTTATTTATGGTTTATTGGTATGTGTGCAGCATGTTAGGCGAGCAGCTGTATTGGCCTTGAGTATTGCAGCTCATAATAAGCCAAACCTGATAAAGGGCTTACTTCCAGAACTATTACCACTTCTCTACGACCAAACAGTCATAAAGGCAACATAGCCAACCCACTTTTCTATATTATTTCCCTTTTTTTGTTGGTTTTATCTGTATGTTGCTTATGTTTCCTGTAGAAGTGTTGGTTAGAAATAGTTCTCTATTAATGCAATTGGCTCTTTGCAGAAAGAATTGATCAGGACAGTGGATTTAGGTCCTTTTAAGCACACAGTTGATGATGGGCTTGAATTGAGGAAAGCTGCTTTTGAATGCGTGGACACCTTGTTGGACAGCTGTCTTGACCAAGTGAACCCTTCTTCATTTATTGTTCCGTATCTGCTATCTGGTTTAGAAGGTGAATCAATAATCAGAGGAAGATGAATGATGAATCCATCTCATTAGATATCTATTATTTCCTCCGGATGCTTTTGATGTGAAATTAACTCTGCCAATTCTACAACTTTTTCGGACGCTTTTAGTTCCTAGTTGCCTTTATTTTCCTCTAGTCTCTCAGTACAATTTTCTTCAATTTCAGATCATTATGATGTCAAAATGCCTTGTCATTTGATACTTTCGAAGTTGGCCGATAAGTGCCCATCTGCTGTGTTGGCAGGTATCTATATCGTCATTATATGGTCTTAAATAATTTTGAATCGTCAACTAAAACGACTATTTCAGTTGGGATGCTAATCCAATTTCACTGAATTATTCAACCTCCAGTGTTGGATTCCTTGGTGGATCCTCTCCAGAAAACTATCAACTTTAGGCCCAAGCAAGATGCTGTCAAGCAAGAAGTTGACCGTAATGAAGATATGATCCGCAGTGCCCTCCGAGCAATTGCATCCTTGAATCACATGAGGTATGTATTGTGTTTGAATATATTTTATATACTGAACAGGATGATAAGAAAGTCAAAGGACAAAACTGTCTTTCCAAAGATATTCTCTGAACCCCCTACTGTATTATTACCGTTTACCGCTAATACTAGGTGGTGTTGGTTTTTGCATGTTATTATTTATGGATTTTATTCTTTTGTTATTTTGTGAACTCCTGCAAACCCCTATCTCATTGCCGTATAGGTTGTGTTTGGTAAGCCAAATAAGCTAGCTTATAGCTTATTTGGTTAGCTTATAAGCTCCATGTATTCAAATAAGTCTCGTTTGGTAGGAAGAACTTTTTTAAAAAGCTCGAGCTTATCTCATAAGCTACTTTAGGTAGCTTTTCAAATAAGCTAGTTGAATTTTTTATTTCAGCTAGCTTATCAGCTAATTTCACCAAACACTTTTATCATATAAACTAGTTTTTCAGCTATAAGTCATAAGCTATAAGCTAAAAAATTACAAATAAGCTATAAACTAGCTTATCAGCTATCAGCTAGTTTTACCAAACATAGCCATAGAACCCTGATCTTGCCTTATTTTTATTTTGTCATGTGCTGGTATATTGAATTCTCACTTTATCGACATTATCTCGTGGGTGTAAATAGATACTTTTTTTGTTTAGCCACGTTTTAAATTCAGGTGTGCTTCATGTATTGCTTTATGTGTTTTGGAATTTACAGTGGAGGAGATTGTAGCCATAAGTTCAAAAATCTGATGAATGATATAGCCAAGTCGCAAGCACTGTCCGAGAAATACTCCTCTATCAGGAATGAATGAGAGCCAGCTTATGCTGTGGAATTTTAGATAAAAGCTTGAGAGTGACTGAGAGGCTAGAAGATGGGTCCCATGTAAAGTGGGACTTGCCTAATTATGCGTACTGAAAGTAAACAAATTCTCTTCCCGTTGAGAAAACCAGTGGCGTATTATATGATCTTCTCATCCTAAGTTGTTTTTTTGCTCTTGGATCCTAGAACCGTGCAGCAGCATTCATTTTGTGCTTTTGCATTGCCTTTTGTGTTGATTATGGTTCTGGTGCTATGTAAATCGAAGATGTTGCAAATTTTACCTACTCGATTAATTGTTTTCTTTCAAGGTAATCGGTTCAATGCAGATACATTTCCTTATTGCTAGTGAGTGCTAGTAAAATTGCACGTAGTAGATCCATTTTTAAGATGACAAAAGCATCTCAGTTCAAAGGACTAAAAACCCTTCATATCGCTAAGTTCCTCAGATACTTCCCTACCCAACGGTAACACCTAAAATTCAAATGTTACCTTTGAGCAACAATTCTTCATCTACTACCAACATAAAGGAGATGATAAAAACTTTTAAAAATGTCAAGGAAGGAGGATATGAGGATATGAGTATATGATCTCGGACGTGGACTTCGGCATGGTGGACATTTTTTTTTTCCGAAACAATAGATTCATTAATTAAAACACATAATTACAACTGACTCACTAGCCGGAATAGGAGGACTGTTCAAAACAACCTATAAACCACCACACACTAAAAGACGAATAGAGAAATAAAAGGCCCCCTACAGGAGAATACACTAACTTTACACAGAAGAATAGCACAAACTCCCCAAAGGAGAATAACACGCACCTCCAAAGAGGAGAAAACAAAACAGCACAACCAAAAAACACATCAACAAATACCACAAGAACACAACAAAAACCAAATAAACGTAAACAAGCTACTAAACTAAAGCCCTCCTCAGTTGCCAAGCGACACTGCAATTTGCCACGCCACCAACTACCCTAAGCCGCCACCCCACATACTGAGACCCGATTCCGAGCACCGAGCCTGAAACTGCAGCAAAGGCCTAACAAGACCCAATCCACCAAACCCGTAGGATGACCACTCACAGTCCACAACACCAAAATCTGCCCCAACTCTCCACTCCACTCCTACCGATAATCAAGAACTTACAACCCCCGGAGTCACCAACCAACATCACCGGTAGAGCCATCGCCCAACCCCAGAAGCGACGGAGAGCCATGGGTGCAGAGCACCAACGACTCCAAGCCCGAAACCATCAACCACAAACAATCTTGGCCGCCGGCCACCGGAGTTGAAGCACCCCACGCGCAGGAGCCCATCCCCAGCACTAGGGAGACGGAAAATAGGGAAAGGAGAATAACTAACCTCCACGCGGACCATCGGCCGGTGCCCAGCCAGAGAGGACTCCCCCAGCCCAGCCTACACCTCGATCGCCCCCCACAGACCAAACATCAACCAAAGCAGATGGCGAAAACCCACGGCCCTGAGGACTCCGAAATAAAGGCAGACCGAGAGAAAGCACATGCTGACGATGGTGGAAGCGCGATGGCGCATTGCGCGCCGCTGAAGAGGAGGCGATCATTTCGATTTGAGGATCTAGGTTAAGCGAGAGCTTCTAGAGAGAGAGTGTGTGTGTGGGTGTTGTAACAAATTGTGTTTAAATTACCGAGTACCGAATCGAATGATTCATTCCCCGGGTCGATCTCTCGAGGAAGGCGGTTTGGAATCAAGATTTAGTGTTGATCACACACAAAAAGAAAATAAGACCTAAACACTCTAATCAAGAAGGTTTGGTTTGAACTATCAGCTACGAAATATCAGAAAATGCAAAATCAGAAATTAGCTCAAGAACACGAATCAAACAATGATAAAGTAGCTAGGGACTCGGGGATATTATTCTAGTTGTAGACGCAAAACTGGGAAATTATATGTTCAGTCCACGACTGGCGCTCTTGCTTATGCATCTAGCAGTTCGCTCCCAATAACTTTTCGTAACAAGGGATTGAACATAGATGAACAAGTTTAAGCACACAACACCGGCCTAGGGTCCGATCCCAATAACTCTCGTAACAAGGGAAAGTACATAGGCGAGCATGTATTTCTATCAAAAAAACTATAGACTGTTCTTTTACGAATCATCTGTCTCATGCGAGCGAGCTTAGGTCTACAACTTCTCTCCTTTCGGTTCTAAAAGTTGCTTAATTAAACTAGAAGGTGGTTAATTGAGTAATCTTTAAGAATTAACAATATCAAACTCGAATGAATCATGTTCAATTGAAAATCAATTGCAAGTTGAGGTGTCACTCTTCAACACCATTCAACATGCAAACATGAAAACTGAAAACCCTTTTTTGAAACAACTCACATGAATTTGAACAAATCAACGCCCGACAAATACGAACGAATAAGAACAATTATACCCTTATCCCTAGCAATCGGATTTAGCTACGCATAATGAATTCAACTCAAAGCACCATATCAACACATATCATCAATCCCATATATTAAACGACAATTAATGCTTACGATTAATATAGAAGCCAAGGTCAAATCCAAAGTACAAGCAAACCCAAAAACAAGAAAACAAACCTTGGAGTGTCACTCTCCAAGATCAATCCATGATGAAGATTTAAGTGTTTGAGGGTGAAAAACTGATATAAACGGTTCTGGAGGTGTTTTTCTATGGTTGGGAACGAGTCCCAATGAATGGTACTTAAAAAATCGAGCAAAATCGAGATTAATAAAAATCTGGTCGCACAGGGTTAGCGGCACTAGCCCCCTTAGCGCCGCTAAGGTCTGGGCTGTGCGACTTTGCGTTTTAGGTTCGTTTGAGCTCGTCCGAACTCGGAATTGAGTGTTGTTATTTCCTACGCGTCGCCAACGAACCCTTCTAGTTAATTATGCTTGCATGGACAACTTATTCTTGAAAACTTATCGACCCGAAGCTCCCGACATACACACCAAAAACGAAAAGAAAAACGGAGAAAACAAAGAAACACAAACGAACACAGAAAAACCCAAAATATAAAAAAACATGCAACAAAACACAAAACGAAAGAAAAGACCTAGAACGGGGGAAAAAAGGCAAAACAACAATGAAAAACGCAACAAAAATGGAACAAACAGAGAGCTTTTAGGAGAGAGAGAGAGAGAGAGAGAGAGAGAGGTTAATTTGTTGCTAACAATTTTCGAAATCGCAATTTATGGTGGTCATTCGATGTTGTAGTTGCTAATGGATTGGGCTTTGAGGGTGTTGCCAGGGGTGAGGTGTGTGGCAATGTACACGGGGAACTTGTTGGCAAATATGACCACGTTGCAGGAGACCAAACCATGGATCTCGACGGAGGATTCTTTATGATTTTTCATTATCAATTAAACCACATAAACCTCTTCTTACACTTCTCAACATGCCACATCATTCAAAACCTAATTCTTACTCCTACACTTATAACTTCCAATAACAATAAACCTCTTAAACTTCTTTCTATGGTCACACTTGTTTCCCACTTAATATTATACTCCCATATTTTTATTAATATTTTTACATTATAATTCTACTTACTGTATTTTTAATATTTTTTTATTGAAGTTTATGCAAGATTTAAGAATGTAAATCTGGTTTACATTTGTAAAGGATAAACTTCCGCCTTTTAATAGTTATAAACCTCTAAAAGTGAGGTTTATAAACCTAACCAAAGACTATTATTAAAGATGTTCTGAGAAGCAAAAAAATCTATCAAAAACTATTGTTAAAGATGTTCTGAGAAGCAAAAAAATCTTTCAAACCTATAGGCCTCCAAAAAGCTCTATAGAGCATGGGTATTTTAGTCATCAAATTGAGTAAAAAAGGTCCACCTATTGGCCTCCAAAAAGTTATGTAGAGTAGGGATATTTTAGTCATCAAATTGACTAAAAATGGTCCACATGTAAAGTTAGCCCATTTTTTGTTATAATTATGTAATTAATTTGTAATAGAGTTATATGTTAAGTTGCAAAAGTATGTTAATTGAGTATTTATTTTAATATATTGGTTGCAGCAAATTATTTTATGTTTTTACCGAGTACCGAATCGAAGGATTCGTTCCCCGGGTCGATCTCTCGAGGAAGACGGTTCGGAATTTAGCGTTAGTCTTGATCACACACGAAAAGAAAATAAGTCCTAAACACTCTAATCACGGTTGATTTGGGGAATCAACTAAAACAAGCTAGAACTAGAAAAACAATTTAAAGAAATAACAATTAAATTTCTAGAGAAAAAGAAGAAGTTCTAGGGGTCGGGAAATCTCATCAAGTATTAAACTATGTTGAACGCTTATTTGTTCGGTTACGAGATTAAATAAGCCTACACGTCTAGAGGACTATGCTCAATAACTCTTCGTATCAAGAGCACAAACATAAACGATAAATTCATTCAAACAGGCAACACATAGACAATACTTTTACGAACATGTCTACTCTATACGAGCCTAAATCGACCGACGTCTCCCCTCTCGGTTCTAAACGTCAATTAACTAGGTTAGAATGGTGATCAATCAACTAACCATATAATTCACACAACTCGTATAGATTGAACAAAACACATTCCTCATAATTCAAAACAAGAATCAAAATCCCTAACCCTAGGTGAATGGATTACCTCATGCTTAGATTCAATTTCATGTTAACCGGAATTAAGAACATAAAACCAATCAACAATAATAAAATAGAATTGAAAAACTTACAATCGGATTAAGAGTTGCAAGATTTCAATCCAAATAACTTTGTGTCCAACAATCCAAGCATGAGAAAAAAAAAAGAAAAGCGGAGAAATTTATCCTAACAATATTGAGTTTTTGGAGAGAAAAATTGAAAGGAACGATATTGGGGATTGTTCCTTAGGTCTGGGGGTTCGTTTTCATATATAGAGCTCGAAAAACGGAGCTAAAACGAGTAAAAACGGAGAAAAATAAAAACAGGGTCGAACAGGTCGCGACTCGCGAGTTGACTCGCGAGTCGCGAGTCGGACGGGTCGTGGGGTCGCGCAGCTGGTCGGAGGCTCTGTTTTAGTCGCGAGTCGCGACTTTGCTCTCGCGAGTCGCGACGTAGGCTCGCGAGTCGCGACTTTTCTCTCGCGACTCGCGACTTTGGACTGCACTGCGCCATTTTACGTTTCGGGCTCGTTTGGGCTCATCCGAACTCGGAATTGAGTTCCGTTTTTTGCTACGTGTCACTAACAAACCCATCTATCCAATTGTGCTCTCAAAACCAGCTTTTCTTGAAGAGAAAATTCGCTCGAAGCTCCTGACCTACACACCAAAAACGACAAAACACAAAAGAAAACCGGAAAAACAAATGAAAAACACCTAAAGACTCAAGATGAAGGAAAACACATAATAAAACATGA